CTCCCCAGCTGCCCTTTAAGTAAGGTGACTGTAAGAAAATATCACATTCCCACGAACATGCTCTCGTTATGAGACTGACATTAGCAGATCCAGCTATAGCCTGTTACTTTAAAACAGGACCATCAAGGTCGTAGCGATCCTCCTGTCATTCACGATCGGAAAATGTGTCATCATCACCGTACAGGGGGAATTGCGGGATTTTAGCAAATTAGACGTTTTGACAGTTTTTCCGCAGCAGTCGCTGGCATGAATGAGAATTATAATTTGGTTGGAAGAAAATGATCTCGAAATGTTGTTCTAAAATAACAGATTATAGCATCTGAAAGTCCGTAATTCATATCTTGGCTTGTACACATTTCTCATTTCAAAAATCCCAATAATCCTTAAAAAAATTTTATTACTATAATAATACTTGCTATTATTATCGAATATATATATTATACATATGCACGAATAAATACAATGAAATCCTTTGAAAAAAACCAAAGGACAAATAAATTCCCTCTTTTGAAGGAGGCGTGCATTTCAAGATCATTATGAAATAATAGTGTTGAATATCATTTCTTCAGTCTTCCATGAGTAGGTATTAATCGTATACTGGCGTTTATGGATTAAGACGGCAGTCAAATCCCAAAAAACCCTCGATCCAGCTGAAACATAAAAAAAAATTTTTTTTAATCTTTGAATGAAGAAAAATTCATAAATTAAATTTTATTAATCATGTTTTGAAAATTTACTCCACTAGTAAAACATAGAAAGAATACGACTGCTTAGTGAAAAAATTGAATAAGCGGAATTTCATATCGGAATACAATTAATCCATACGCATTATGAGTTAAATATTAATCATTCTTGCTGGGAGTTCTGTTTACGTGACTATTATTATTCACATGGTTCATAACTAGAGCAGTAATTTTACCGCTGACAAAAACGGCGAAATTTGGAGTAAGTAGTAAAAATTCGTGAAACTTTTGCAGCTAGGGGTCTTTATACTAACCATTTGGCAAAAATTATTTATCAAAAATTTATTAAAAATAACAACAACATGGCATTAATTAATTAGCACTTCTGTCCTCCATATAAGAACGAGAAGGAAAAGAAAAAGTGAAGTATAATAAAGTTTGTACTTAATATTAAAATTTTTTAATTTTTTTTATTATTATTAAAGAAACACAATAAGCTCCCCATGTACCACGTAGGGACACAGAAGTAAGTATGAAACACAATACAAAATAAACAGAAGAAAAAACTGAAAATAAAATTAAGGATGATTACAAAGTTTTAGAATGAATTGACAAAAAGTGTTAAAAGCACTTCTCTCGGAAATAAATTGGTAAAATTCTGGAGGCCAGTTAATATTAAAATTTTTCAGTTCCAGTTTCAAGACTTTTCTTTCGTTCTTATACTTAGGACATAGAAGAAGCACATGTTCAACAGTCTCCTCTCCACCGAGGCTACAATCACGGACAGACTCGAGGTTCAACTTAAATCTGTTCAAATAACTTTTGAAATTTCCATGGCCAGTAAGAAATTGGGTTAATTTATAGTTTGTGAAGAAGTGATGACATGACAATCTCATCTTGATAGACGGGAAAAATCTCTTAGTTAAGCTCCCTTTACTTAAATTAATGAATTCGTAGTTCCACGACTCCACAATACTTTCATACATGACCTTCTTATAAAAGGAATTTGGGATATTGACAAAAGTGTCAATTTCCCGCTTAGTCGCAGTCTTAGCAAGGAAATCGACTCGTTCGTAAAAATTTATAATTTAAGATTGCTTTTTATTACAAAAATGAATTAAGAAAGTAATTTTTAGAAATACACCTATATTTAAAAAGCAAAAATGAATAAACACAAAGTAAAATGCAGTTCAAAACCAAATCCAATTGCGCGCTGATAGCCGCAACAAGTGATAATAATGCAAAAGTAAATAAAACACAAAATAAAAAGCTGTTCAAAACCTAATCCAATTGCGCGTTGATAGCAACAATAAGTGATGCATTATTACTATCACCTGTTGCAGGAAACTGTCATTCTCTGACTGTGGCATCTATAGCTGGTATTACTATCACCTGTTGCTGGAACCTGTCATTCTCTGACTGTGGCATCTATAGCTGGTATTTATTTTCCTTCTTATCCCTTGTTTTAGCTGATTCTCCATTCGCTGTTCAAGGGAGTCAAGTGCTGAAAAATATATATGTATTGTAGAGACATTAGGTTATTTTGTAGCAGGAGACATGAAAAAAGAGCAATGCCCCCCCCCGAGACTCGAACCACGGACCTGTCGAATATGCGCCCAGCGTGCTGACCACTACACCACGAAGGTAGGCTAAGAAGCAGGGAGAAATGCCTTATATATTTCCTCTTTTAAAGGGGGATTAGAAGACCCATTCGCCAAATCCTGGTGGTGGAGAATTTTCATCCACCTTGTTTAGTTCGGGCGCCACTGTAGAGATATTAGATTATTTAGAATTAGGAGAGATAAAAATTGAGCGGTGTCCTCGCCGGAACTCGAACCACGGACCTCTCGAATACGCGCCGAGTGTGCTGACCACTACACCACGAAGGCATACTAAGAAGGCGGAAGAAATACCTTGTAGTATATGAACAGCTTTGCTAAAAAAAGCAAAAGATTAAATACTTAATTATTTTGGATACTTCGGGCAACTACTGTGGGAAGATGGATGTGAACCGCTTTCACACTCGCTTTTTTCTTTTTCTTTAATTTGCACTCGTAAGGTAAATGGTTTTCTAGACATCTTACACATCGTAGTTTGTTGTAACAGCCAGCCTGTGTGTGTCCGAACCTTTAGCAGTCATAACACTGCCTCGGCCTGGCTTTGGGACGAAAAGCGCCGATCACAATTCCAACACTGAAGATGTTAGTTACATTGTAAAATGTCTTTGTTTCTCCTGTCCAGGGAAGTTCAACAAAATAGACTGGAATTTTTCTTACACATCCGCCTGTAATTCTCGTGAACTGTTGTATTTTAGTAGCTGGATAATTCATTCTACGTAGTTCTAATATATCAGCTTTTCGCAATTCAGGGATTCATATCTGTTCGATTTCTTGATCTTTGTAGTTTCGCGCTAATTTCTGTTATTCGTCCGTCTTGATTTCACCCATTTCTGAGAATTATCGTTTTTAGTCAAAGAAGTCTGTTGCATTTTCCATTTGACTAGACCTTGACCTTGCATGCTATAATTCTTTCAGCTTTCAATGCTGCGCATGCAGCTTCACATCTCCTCGTAATTTCTTGTATTGTCTTTCTCGTTGAGGTATGTTCTTTTCCAATTTAGTTTATCGTGAGCTTGTTGTATCATTAGTTCTAGCCATCAATTTTTTTAACATAGTATCTTGCTGGTAGCTTATCACCGGGCTCAACGATCTTTTGAAGTAGATTTTTCGTTCTTTCCATCATTTCCTCATAAGACGTTGTTGCACCTCATAAGCTGCTGCTGACCGATAAAATCATTCTATTACCACTTGCTGCTGCTGTCAACGAGAAGCTAAGTGGGCTGTAAATTTATTATACTCTCCTCCTTTAAAGAGCAACTTAAGAAGAGAAGAATAAAATCCAATTGGCGAAATCTAGGTAGTGTCGAATTATCGTCTACCACATTTCGGTCCGGAGCCACTGTAGAAACTATCAATTTTTTCCCGAGAACAAAACACACACACACACCACACAAAAAAAAAAAAAAAAAAAAAAAAAAAAAAAAACAGCTCTGCCTTAGTCGGAATTCGAACCACAGATCGTCTAGTACCAGCTGGACGTGTTACCAATTCCAGCAAGAAAGCACACCCGAGAAAAGTAACAATTCCTTATACATCCATGGTATATTTTAATGACACTTATTTTAAATTATATTAAATGACACTTATTTTGGTTTCAATGAAAGTATTTTTTGTAAATTTTAAGTAAAAATATTTATTTTTTAGATTAGAATTCAAAAGATCTGAATGACAAAAAACACGCGAAGATTCGAATGTCCCAGCTTAGAAAGAGAGAAAAGGGGTGTAAAAAAACAGAGATAGAAAGACATATTGATACCGATGCAAAATAGTCCACAAGTGTTGAATACAGAACTTCAATACCAACATCGTGAACTTGGAGCATTAGCATGGGAAAGGAATTAAACAACTGCATCCGAGCATCGAATGGTAATGAACCAATTAGAACTCCGGACCTAACCCTTCCCCAAATTGCTTCTATTTATTTCTGATTATTCTTCTACGCGCACATGTTGTAGAGCAAACCACAACCTGTTGGAGAAGGACAAGGGAGTGCCCAACACCTGGTAATGCTATTTAAAACACACAAAGCGTCGTAATTCATAGCTAGCATTTTGAAACCGTCGAGAATGCTAAAGATCTGATTACAAAGTATAATCCTCGCGACTGCATCAACCACGGATATGATTTGCTTGTTTTTGTTCATGCACTTTTGCTAAACGACGTTCTTTCGAATGCTGTAAACTGCTGTTCATCACCTCATTAGGCGGCTTTAATATATCTCGCTGTCTGTTGACAGTGATTGTGCGAAATCCGTATAATAAGCAAAGCAAATATGGCAGCCATGTTTGATTTAAGTGGTTCTTCTTCATTTAAATACGACTGTAAACCGCCATTATTGCCAGCAGATCATCTAGTAGACAGACTTGAATCCTCTGGGCTAAAAATGGAGCGCGGCAAGACTTATAAATGGTTCTTATCTATGACTCATTATAAAACGTATATGGCAAAGTGGCGGATGGTGAAATAATACGAATAGGATAAGGCCTTCAATAACAGAGAAAGTAATATAATAAATATACCGGTTTAATGTGACAAAAGTCAATAAATAACAGTTGTTTCAAAACGCTATAACGAAATTTCGGCATAATTATTTAAACATATAGATTGTAATTATATATTTCTCTGCAGAAAGGTTCAGTAAAATAGCTGCATTTTTATACTGTTATATTTATAATTATTTCTTCATTTGTTTCTCTAGGTCAAATTTGAAATTAATTTTTGATTTCCTCCTACCGAGCCGATATTCTTGAGATCTTGGACAATTATCTCTTTGCAATTTGGACAAATCTCAATATATTGTATCAACACATAGCAATAAATAGTTTTATTAATCCAATATGCACTTTTTTATTTGATGCTGCTGTAATTTTTGTGGATTTTTCGCATAGATTGTCACTAAACCATTAAGCAAACTATCTCCGAATTTCGATTTTTAATAAAGGGAAGTAATTTTTCATATGAAATTTGTTTAGAGCCTCTCATTGTAATTTTCCAATTGTCGGTGTTTTGGCTATTTCGCTGTTTTCGGCTGTTATAATATGTAGCGAAATTCGATAATATTAATAATGCTATAATATTGAAGAAATGCTAAGGATGATCAGGGGTCTAACAACGATAATATTGATAATGCTATAATTCAATAATATTGATAATGCTATAATATTGATGAAATAATCAGGTATCTAACAATTTAAAGTTAGGCAATTTAACGTTATTTAAAATTGGAACTGTCAAACAAAAGATTTTAATCAATTTAATGCAGTCTTGCACCATTAGGTAGATTGATAACATTTGAATAAAGTTTTATGTCCCGTGCTTAATTTCTGTACAGACTGGAGGAAAGGATTTCTTTACATTTCGCTGCAATCTCGGATCAATTAATTATTTTACCCTCTGTGAGATGAATAAAATATAAAAAATTTGAAATTCAAGATTCGGGCCTCCAAGGTGCCCGTATTCGGATGGAGGACTACGTTATTCAAAATTTGATCGCTCTAGGTATCGTTGTTTTTCAACAATGCGAGAAACATACATACATTCATGCATATTCTTCACTACTTAATTTCTTTAAATATAATACAGGGAGATAATATTTGGTAGCAACAATCTGAAAAGTGATACAGCCATTTATAGTGATTACACGCAAAATGCTGTTTCGAGACTAGTAGCCCTTCTGGATAACTTCTCCCTGGGCTAAAAGCTGTTTTTAAGTTGCGCGGTTGTAATTAAGCGCACTAAAAAAAGCCTTTTTTAATTAAATGATTTTGGTTAAGTGCACTAAAAAGTAAAACACAATATATCACATTACATTTTTTTAGCTATCGCAACATTTTCATCATATATAATTTTAAAATATGATATATTGGGATATTTAAAGAACTTTAATAAATAACAGATGTAATAGCAGAGAAATGAGGTATGTAAGAATGAATTAAATTTCTCATTGACAATTCTGATGTCGAATCGGTTAGTATAGTATAGGCAATACCTTTCCCTTCCCCAAAGATTTTGTTTTTTCAGTCGCACATGATTAATCCTACTATCATAAGTAAAAATTATTCATTTTACCTTTTAGTGACTTTAATTAAAACCGCGTGACTTAAAATTTATATATGTGTTGAAGGCAAAATTCTAACTTTCATTCATAATAATCCCCCTTAAGTCTTCTTTTGGATATTTATTCGTAAAAATAATATATTCGCAATTTTTCTATTTTTAAATATTGGATAATTACTGGTAGTTAAGAACTTATAAAAGTTTATGCAGTTATTGTTAATAACTATGCGAACTCTTAGAGCTATAAGTTGTCAATAAATCGAACTGTTTCCTGTAGGTATAATAAATTATAAAAGAAAGTTAATTTTTATCAGCAGCTCAAAAAATTCGGTTGAATCGAATTGCTTCTTCCAGTAAACTGTATTAATATCGGGGATAACATCCACGGTGAAATCAAAACCAACATAAAAGAGGCATAACTCCTTTTAAAATTAACAGAAAATAAAATAATTTTCTTATATTTTTAAGCAGTTTAATCTAAAGAATAAATTAATTTCGTCGCGCAAACTAGATCAATATTAGCACAAAAGCAGCACATCGTAAGTTACGGAAGAATAAATATGATTAGAAATGAAGAAAACAAGTTATACAATGCATTAAAGAACAATATTTATAAGATACTTAAACACTATCACTGAGTTCAAGCTTACGTAAAAATGATTTAGAATTTTTTTTTGGGGGGGGGGGAGTGGAGCAAAGTTCATATGGCAAACGACATCTGCTGTTATTCCGCTCAATTTGAGTTTTCTTTTCTGTATCCATAAGGTTCAAATGGTTGAACCTAACAAAACATTGGTAGTTCTCCAGGAGTTCAAATCGCGGAGGGATCTCCACGTGTGCATCTTTGAATACGAACCAGTTTCCTTTTGAAAATCTTTCACGAAGGTAAAATTTCTATTAAGCTGATAGCCTTAGTGTGCTTTGCTATAATGTAGTGAATACAATGTCTTCCTTTTAATCCTTTTCGTGGACAGTTTTGCTTTACGTTGATGATTTGTGATAGTAATTTTTTTATTGTTTTCTCATAACTAAAAAAAAAAGGGTCCAGTTAATATGCCTACAATTCATCGAGAGTTGAAAGATTTCTTTTTCCCTCGATAATTCATATATCATTCCCCAAAGAGGCGTTACCTCATTTGCAAAAATCTTAAATCCTAAATAATCTAAACTCCCTTGTTGTCCTAGTCATTTAATCAGCACCACAAACAACCCATTCTTGATTTTGTGAGTAGTAAAAGACGATCTCGAAAAAGAAGTTATTATTAATTTGTTTTAATTACTAATTATAAAACCTGGCTAATATTTCTATTGGCTTTTTATACAGAAATAATACACAGCACACAGCTTGCCCATAACAATTCTTATACAACCTTTTATTGTCGCAATTGTTCATGTACTCCCACATGTTTTAAATTAAGCTAATATTCATGTTATGGTATATTTAAATAACTAATTTTGTAAAAATAAAAAAAAATTTAAATTTAAATTTAAAAAAAAATTAAGCTTTATATACGTCCCCTATAATTTCAACTTTATATACGGTCATTAGGCGGCTTTAATATATCTCGATGCCTGTTGACACTAATTGTGCTAAATCCGTATAATAAGCAAAGCAAATATGGCAGCCATATTTGATTCCTTCTAATTGCCTTTCATAAACGTTAGTACTTCTGCTGACAAATGTAACGTAAAGCGTTTTACTTCCGTACGATAGAAATTAACCTAGATATTTAATTTCAAGTTCGGAATTTTTTCAAATTTTTCAATGCCACTATAGATTTTTAAGGGGTCATGTGAAAAGCCAATTAAAATAACTCGAGTCAGATTTTTTCTTCTAACATCATTCATTGAATTTTTTTTTTTTTTTTTTTTTGTTTTGTTTTGTTTTTTTGATTTACGAGTGTGCAGAAATCTTTAATTTATAATGTTGTTACAGGTGACCCACGTCAAGGAATTTCACATAAGTAATTTATAAGTTTTCAGTTGTTAAAAGTAAGTTAATAAGTTTATATGCGCTTTTATTAGTTTAGGATCATAAACCAACCGTCACGAAAAGGAATACATTGCAATAGAAATATTTTTCACTTTCATTTCATGCAAATATCCCGAGCCATTACTGAACCCTAACACTCTTTTTTAGAATATAAATTCTATGAAATCTCCTTTTTGAAAAAATTGTTTTTACTGATCAGAATTTTGACGAAATTCTGAATAACAGTTTGTCACTTAATCCATTAACGGAAAACTTTTTTCCACATTAATTTTCCTTCTCAATCGTGTAAAAATTTAAATATTTTGCCCTTCCATTTATATATGATACTTGAATTTGCGAGAAACGTGATGTCAAGTTTCAGACAATTTTTGTCGTATTGAAGTCAAATAGTTTATATATTTTTTTTCTTAGAAAAAATTTAAACTTTCATTAAATATAATTTTACGGGTAAGGGAACCTCATAAAATATTACGTTTCGTAATTTTACAAAACTGATTTTCGAAATTTAAAAATGCTATAGCGTGAATATTTTCCTTAGTTATTTTTTTTTCTCTTGGAAGTATATGTCTACGACCAATGGATTAATAAAAGTTCCATAATCCTGAATTCCTTTTTCCACTTTTATTTTTACTTGCCAAATAGAAATCACAATTTATTTTAACAGGATCTCGTAAAAATTTGCCCTGAGACCTGCGTTTGTTCTTTGGATTAAGCTCTATAAATTCTGCGTGAAGCATTGCAAATTTTCTCGTGTTTACTGTCATAATAACATTTCCATAAAATTGGACTGAGCTCCAGCAAAATAGCAAACTGTGAGAATTTTTTAATCTTTTGCTTATTTGTCTAAGTTCAATTTTTCATTTGTTTATTAGTAAAGTGCATAAATTTATTTTCCTCGAATAATCATGAAGTAACAAAGCTGAGAAAAATAATGCAGAGTCAAATAATGAGAAAAATAATTTGTGTCTTTTAGAAACTGAGCAACAAAATATTAAAAATATTTTCAAAAGGTCATTTTGATGTCAGAATGCAAGCAAACCAAAATTTAATTGTAACCAGAAAAATAAGCGTTACGAAAGCATGAAAAATAAATATTTAAAAAGTTGGCACTTACTAAAAATGCAACAAACATGAAAATGCTTTTCGTAATGCATCGTGTCTTTTCAATTGTACGAGAAATTGATTTTTTTAAATCTCAAACGAGAAAATAATCGCGCTGGAAAAAGATGAGAAGCTGTAACACAATACACAGATGTTGAAAACATAATGCGCGGTTCTTGAAATGGGTGCAGAAGAAATCATTAATCAATTACATACAAAACATTACAGCTGGAAATAAACACAGTTGCATGAATCTTGAGCCATAAACAAATCTTGAAAATGCGTAGAGAAAAGCACTAAGCTGCCATATACAGTACTTACAGTTAAATTTGAAATACTGATAAAAGAGAGGGGTCATCCGCAGAAGCTGGAGATCTGTGGTGAACTGCTCATTCAAGTGCTTAGCTCACTGAAAAATCAAGAAAGAAGTCATTAAAAGACTCTCTCAAGTGTTTATCTCTGCAAGAATTGGTGGTAATTTTAATTTGAGTATTCCAGTGCAGCTGGCAGTCTGGCACCTACAATAATGATGGTTTACAATTAAACAACTTAAAACTGCGGAAATTTATTAAGTAATCTCAGATTATTAAGAATGTTCTTGTCTTAAATTTCTAAAGAGAAGAGTCAGTTGAGCGAGAGTACAATAAAAATGTTAAATCTGTTAAGGTGCAAAAACTGTACAAGAAGG